GAAAAAATAATAATCATTCATCTTATTAAAAACACTTAATGAGATTAATGCGTTCATTCTCAACCCGAAACCCAGATTAATGCGTTCATTCTCAACCCGAAACCCATTTTCTCCAACAGTCAACCCCAGCCCGAAAAACTACTTAAAGAGAAAATACCTTATATTATATAGAGTATAGTATTATGGTTACCATGTCAGAAAATAAAATCATAGATTTCATTTTAAACAGCCAACAAGGCGAACTAATACAAAAAGAAGGGAGGCAAACACAAAAACTCAAAATAGGTGATAAGACCTACAGATATGATAAGAACAAACCAGTTTCAAACGTATTGAACACGAAACTAAAGGAAGTGGCAAGGAGTGACGGATATAGAAAGCATGGCCTTTTAATGAAGGTGCTAATTATCTAAAACTAACGAGAGGTAGACCCTTACAGGATTATGTCAAGCGATTCAAGTCCAAAATCACAGACGAGCAACAAGCGTTCAAGGGATACGCCAACACCTACTCGGTAAGTGATATAAGATTAAAGGGGTTGAAAGGTTTATCCTACTTAAAATACCAGAAGCAACGACTGGCCGAATTCCTGAACAGAAACCCGAACTTGAAAATAATCGTGGAAACTGATTTATCATTCAAAAATCCCGACAATGAACTTATTCAAAGGAGGTTAAGAAGCAGAAGATACAATATTCATAATACCGATGAGTTGAACAACGTCTTAAACAACATTGGGCATGACATTGAGACACAAATTGAAGTAGTCGAAGAAGTTCAGTCGAGTTTGGTTCTTGTACAAGTTGAAAAGTTAGTCATCAGTTATGATAGGTACAATCCTACCCGTGGTTCATCCTTTATTTCATTGCCCGACTGGGTGGCAAACAAAAAGGCTTGTATTAATATTAAAAATGAGGATGACTTATGTTTTAAATATTCTGTTCAATGTGGATTTTATGAGTTATTCAAAAAAGACCATCCCTGCGAGATGTATCATTATAAGAAATATGTAGATGACAAATTTATCAAATGGGATAATATTGACTTTCCAGTAGGTAATGATGAGATTGAACTATTTGAAGAACAGAACAAACACATATCGGTCAATGTTTATTACATAAACCCCGATACGAATAGTAAAACTATTTTATTATACAAAAGAAGCAACAACCCACAAGCACAACACAAAATCGATTTGATTAAATTGACTGATGATGTTAAATCCCATTACGCTTATATCAAAAATTATGATAAGTTAATGAGTAGTCAGACTAACAAGATGAAGGCGAAGAAGTATCACTGTAGAACCTGCTCACATGGTTTCAAGACCGAAGAACTTTTAAAGAAACACGAAGAACAAGGATGTCTAGCAGTTGAGGGTCAAAAAATAGAAATGCCAGAAGCAGGTGAAACAATAGCATTCAAAAACCATTTCAAGAAACTTAAAGCTCCATTCGTAATCTATGCCGACTTTGAATGTTTAACTGTGCCAATTGATGTTAAAAGCAAATCGGCAAAAGCTAAAACTACATCATATCAAAATCATCGTCCGTGTGGTTTTATGATTAATGTAGTCAATGCTATAACCGGAAGTAGTGAGCCTTACTTATATAGAGGTGAAGATTGTATGGATAAGTTTGTTCAAAAAATCAATGAAGTCAGAGAAGATATTATTAGTAGGATGAAGGAAGTAAAAGAGATAATCATGACTGAAAAGGACAAGGAAGATTTTGAAAATGCTACTACTTGCTTTATCTGTGGAAATGATTTTAAACCTGAGGACAAGAAGGTTCGAGACCATTGTCACTTTACTGGAGCTTACAGAGGATGCGCCCACGATGATTGTAATCTTGGTTTTAGTATGAGATATTATAAAATCCCTGTGTTTCTTCATAACCTTAAAAACTATGATGCCCACTTAATCATCAACAAAGCTCACGAACTGAACAAAAATTCTAAAATCGAATGTATCGCTCAGAACAGCGAAAAGTTTATAACCTTTGGTTTTAAAAATCTTTGTTTCAAGGACAGTTTCAGTTTCTTATCGTCTTCGTTGGATAAGTTGGTCAGGTTGAGTAAATATGAGGATGATAAAAAGCGTGAGAACTGGAAGAACAATTTCAGATACAGCGTTAGAAACCCGTATGTTAAAACCGATGAAGATTTGGATTTATTGACTGATAAGGGTATTTATCCCTATGACTACTTTGATGATTTTGAAAGATTTAAGGAAAGGGCTTTACCACCGAAAGAAGCGTTTTACAGTAAATTGAGTGAAGAACATGTAAGCGATAAAGATTATGAAAGGGCACTGAAAGCATGGAAGCACTTCGGGATTAGAACACTCGGGCAGTATCACGACTTGTATTTAAGAACTGATGTTTTACTACTGACCGATGTATTTGAAAACTTTAGAGACTTGTGTATGGAATACTACGGTTTAGACCCCGCTCATTATTACACGTTGCCAAATTTCGCATGGGACGCGATGCTTCTAAAAACTGGCGTTGAAATAGAACAATTGCATGACCAAGAAATGTTTGAGATGGTTGAAAAGGGAATGAGAGGTGGTATGTGTCAAGTCAGTCATAAATTAGCAGTGGCAAATAATAAGTATATGGGGGAAGCATATGATGAGAACAAGCCATCAAATTATATTAGTTACTTGGATGCTAATAACTTGTATGGTTTAGCAATGTCCCAGAAGTTACCGCTAAAAAATATCAAGTGGGCAAAGAAAACTCCCATTGTTGAAAAATGGAATGAAAACGATGAGTTCGGTTATATTATGGAAGTTGATTTGGAATATCCCGAAACATTGCACGACTTCCACTCTGACTATCCACTAGCGCCTGAAATAATGAATGTAAATGTGAATATGCTTTCCGACTATCAAAAGCAAGTCTTCAAAATATATTATGATGGAAAAACCCCGAAGGACGAGAAAACAAGTAAGTTAATATTAAATCTAAAGGATAAAGAAAAATATGTGGTTCATATCAAGACTTTACAGTATTATTTGAAAATGGGAATGAAAATGGGTAAAGTCCATAGGATAATAAAGTTTCAACAGAGGGCTTGGTTGAAACCGTGGATTGACTTCAACACTGGTAAAAGGAAAGAAGCCAAAAGCGATTTTGAGAAAGATTTATTCAAATTAATGAATAACGCGGTGTACGGAAAAACTATGGAGGACAAAAGAAACCATATGGACTTTGAACTGGTTGATAATGAGGTAAGATATGAAAAATGCGTTAATAACCCAACATTCAAAAACAGATTTATTATTAATGAAAATCTCGTAGGAGTTGAGAAAACTAAAGCAAAACTGAAACTGGATAAACCGATTTTCTTAGGAATGAGCATTTTAGATTTAAGCAAACTACATATGTATAAGTTTTACTATGATGTATTGAAAAAGAAGTATAATGAAAACATCAAATTGATATATACTGATACTGACAGTTATGTAATTCAAACAATGACTGATGATGTTTATAAGGATTTCAATGATATAAAGCAACACATGGATTTTAGCGACTATCCTGTTGAGCATCCATGCTTTGACAAAACTAATAAAAAGGTCTTAGGAATGTTTAAGGACGAAGTGAATGGAAAAATCATTACTAAATTCATCGGATTGAAACCTAAATCTTACGCCTTCACAATTCATGGTGAGGTTGATGAACATAAGAAATCAAAAGGTGTAGTGAAACACAAAGTGAAAAAAGAACTGTCGTATCAGAACTATCACGAAGCATTACTTCAAAACAAAAAGCACGAAATCACATATAACTTCATCAGAAGTAAGTCGCATCAAATATATTCAATGTCTCAAGTAAAGCAATCTCTCAGTAATTATGAAAATAAAAGGTTTTATATTGATGCTTTCACTTCATTGCCTTATGGACATTACGCTATTACAAAGTAATAGCCTAATGTCGCGACATTACGCCATAAAATAATTATCTAAATAGTTCTAATAATATGAAATTATTAGAATTATTTTCAGGGACAGGCTCGAGCTCTCAGGTTTGGTCGCAAATTTGAAAGTTCTTGATTTTCTCAACTCCGTTTTGGTGATTTTATGTTTCGTTATGTTTTTTAATTTTGATGGATTTCATGGGGAAAAACAAGGGTTTTGAAAAACAAGAAAAGGACCAAATAACCGAACATTTACAAACAAAGGGGTTTGGGAGAGACCTCAAAATAAAAAAAATCGCGAGAGTTTCGCCTTGTTTTATAGTTGTTTTTTTGTATTTATACTGGTTTGTATATGGTTTTATTAGGATTGTTATTAACCCGTACCCGAGAAACCCGCCTAAGATGAGAATGAGGTCGGACCTTCTGACAAGCGGGATGGATGCGGGGTCGGTAGGGTTGGTAGGGTTGGCAGGGTTGGCAGGGTTGGTAGGGTTGGTAGGGTTGGTGGGGTTGGTGGGGTTGGTGGGGTTTGGTTGAACCCTTTTCCACGGCAGTCTTCAAAGTGTTTCACGCAAACCCTTCTGCACTTCAACCTTCAAAGTGTCTTGTTTGAACCCTCTCCTCAACAGAAACAAAAAAAACAACAAGACATGAACAACACCCCTAAAAGTCAACCCGTGTCAGACGAACCTAGTTCAGGACAGTCTCGTAGAGACACAGCAGGATGACTTCATAACCTCAGCATGGGTCAAGCGACAAACGAACCATTCAACAAATGTAGGTAAGTCATGGCACATGTTTCAGTTGCCCAATTGTCTCAAACAAAGCAAGATGCCACGGTCAGTCTTTTTTCTGACTGACCCACCGCTTACGGATGGAACAGATGGTCTGTTCAAGCGACCTACTCCATAAGTCGCCAGTTGAACATGCTACACTGATGTCAGACTGAATGGCACAATTAGGGTTGACCAAATGGTGAGATTAGGGCGGACTGAATGGCACAATTAGGGTTGACCAAATGGTGAGATTAGGGCAGACTGAATGGCACAATTAGGGTAGACCCAATGGTAAAATTGTGTGTTTTTTCATTGACTGACATCAATGAGCATCACATCTCAGTGATGTTTGTCTACATCTCTGCGTCAGTGCCCTTCTGTGATTTGGCATGTTCCTTGATGGAGCGACCCACCGCTGACGTGAAGGATGTCCAAGAAATGTTGGAGGCACCGTCTCCATACTTTTCAGTGAGGATATACTGCGTCAGGGTAGGAAGCGTGTAGTAGGAGGTCTCCAACTGGTTCTTGACCTCATTGAGTTTTTTCAGGTTGCTGGAGAAGATGATGTCGCTCACAGCCTTGCAACGAGCATCCATTTTCGTAGAGATGGCAGTCACCGAGAGCAACTTTTCCATGTCCTTCTCTGGAAGCGACTTGATGAGGGTATCCATGTCAAGCGCTCCGCTCTTCACACTTCCAAGCGCCTGAGTGACCTGATTGGCGACCTCACTGATGGCAGGCGAGGCATTCGGAACGCTCTGGAAGCGCAACAGCGACATGTTGATGATGTCATCCAACGACTTGAGACTTTCCTCCTTTGACTTGCCACCGCTGGAAGTGATGGCACGCTTGCCTCCTCCGAGTCCACGGACACTCACCCTGACGACCGAACCATTCACCATGCGCCATCCAGCATCCTTGCCCTTGCCCTCGCCAAAGCACCTCCTCGCATGCTCCTCGATGCTCTTTCCAGCAAACTCATAGCGAAGACCTTTGAGCATCTTCTTGGAAGGGAAAAGCTTTGGATGGAAAGCGCCCAACAACTCTCTGAACATCTTCAGAGTGCAAGACTTGGGGATAGTCATGCTGAAGGTAGTCTCACCGAACACCACCGTGATGGTGATATCCGTGACCTCCTCTTCCTCACGCTCTTGCTTCTCCTGAGCCTTCCGCAAGTTCCGCTCCTTCTTCTCACGGATGCGCTTTGCCTTGTTACCGGCCGCTCGCAACTCCACGCACTTGTCATAGTAGAACTTGTTGATGTTCATGCCCTTGCTCAAAAGCATCCTCAACTCTGCCTCGTCCTTGTTCACCAGCGCCTGGTTGACCTCCTCCTCAAAGACGGCGTCAATGAAGGACTCGGGCACAGTGAAGGTCTCCGACGCACCAGTAGCAACAGCGGAGGAAGAACTACCCGGGTCATTCCTTGGCGTCTTGTCCTTGTCCTTGTCACTCTCCTGACCATCGCCACTACGTGGAGAGTTTTGCTCATCTTCCGTACCATCCGAATGTTCAGTCTCGCTCTCCTCCGAAGAGTTGGAACCGTCGCTGACATCATCAGCAACCACTGGCATCACTTGAGAAGGGTCAGTGACGACCTCCTCTGATGGAATGAGAGTCGAAGACTTAGGCGCCATTGAGTCAATGAGATGAACAGTGGCGGACACAAAATGCTTGAAGCAGAAAGACTAAATTATCATGTTCAAAATGTTCAACGCTAAGCCAACTCATCCAATGGCAAGCAATGAACGAAACCGACGACGCTTCTCACTTGAGGCACCCGACAGAAACAGGGATGAGGTCGATGAGGTCGAAGCGCGTGGCAGGACGACCGAATTACGAAGGAAACAGCAAGAAACAAACGCACCACCCAACACCCCAGAACTTGATAACTACTAAAAGGGCCAACTCTTTCAAATGAAAAAAATGTCGGCCCCCAGCCCAACAATGAACAAGGCGACAATTTACCCAAATGATTACCTTAACGAAAACGATAAATAAGCTCCCTAAAAACCCTCTTTTAAAAACGAATAAGGGGGAACACAGATTTGAGATGAACATAAAAACCAGAACAGGCAACCCTCAACAGACCACCCCCCAGGCCCCCTACTTTCTCCATTTTTTCCCCGCCCCGCCCCCGCCCCGCCCCCGCCCCGCCCCCGCCCCGCCCCCGCCCCGCCCCGCC